TGGAGAAGAATATGTGGTATATACCGGTCTGGGACTGTGTGGCTATTCAGTGCACGGTAGTCACCACAAGGTCGACAGTCTCCTTGTGTCTTTGTGCAATGGCGAGCACCAATTGCTAGAGGAGGGCCGGATCATGATGCCCAACTCCAGCATGTGATCGAATTCTTGCCGTGCGATTCGGAGACGTTCAAGGCCCAAGCGACGGGGTCGTGCCATGGTGGGGAGTCCGGTTGTGCAGATGCGTTACGTCGTGTTTCACCGGAGCGTCGCTCACGCTGACCTCGACTCTGTCAAGTAGGAAACGGCTGCCCGTAGTCTCGTCTGTGACGTAGAATAGGCGACTGCATTGTGGGCCGGACACGCTCGTCACCGCTAGCGACCAGCCCGATCGTTTCCAGCCTTTGAACAGGGTGGTCTGAACTTGCCTGCATCATCGCAGAACTTCTCATGGTACCAGCAGAGTGTCGCCCTGGCAGGAGAGGGTGATCGCCGTGGGGTCAACGACATGCGACGAGAGGGTCTTCCTTGAGAAGCGCTGTGCGCTTGACGAGCTGTTCGCAAAGGGAGTCGTACGGTCGAGTGTCTGGCGGGCGTAGTATCAGGCGTAGTCCCTATGCATTTTTGGAGAATGATTTTTGGAACATGGGCCTCGTAGTCCCGTGAAATGGCGGAATTGCGCATGCGCTTAATAATATAGTGAACGTGCAAGTCACGTAGGACCAATGCACTGTGTTATAAAAATGTTTATAAAAAATGTTTAATATCTTGTTTAAAATGTTTATGCTGAAAAACGACCAAAATAGTTCATCTTTCTACTATTTGTAGAGGCGAATTCGTTCGCTATAGATACAAGGTCAAGTAACTCTGCTTCTTCCTTGAAGACGAAGAGTATGAAAGATTATTTAAGCGTTGTTGTGTCATTGAGCTTCTAAGAAATGTCTTTATGCGACGCAGAGAAGAAAATGCCCTCTCAGCTGTGGCACTTGTTACTGGGAATGATAAGTATGCTTTCAACACTTTATCCACTTCACCTAGCATGCCTTTTACAACCTCACTTTGATTCAATGTCTCTGCAATAGTTCTTATTGAGGTAACTGCTGTAATGGTAGGAAAAGCTGTCTTTATATAGGGCATCTGGGAGCATCTGTAGCTGAATCCTAAATCTAGATAAGTCAATCTCCTCTCTGAAAAAATCCTGAACTATGCTGTTGATATTTCTGTAAGGTTTTTTTCCATTTGCTGCATCCATCAGAAGTGATTCAATCTCTGAAACGGTAGCAAGATCAGATTGGTCAAAGCGCCTTTGTACCTCCCCACATGCATAATCAAGAGCTTCAAAGTAGGTCACCCGGAACATTTCCTCCGGAGATGAAAAACGATGTGGCTGTGCACCTTCAAATCTCTTTGGAGCCTTTCGGTACCGAGGCAGGACTGGTTCATCGGTTAGACTGCTAGATAGCTCAATAACATTTTTATAAAAGGAAGTGAAGGCTGCTTCATTTCGAAGTGATGAGTAGTGGGAACTAAGAAGATGTGCACCCCTGAGTGCCTCACAAGCAATAGTGTCTCGAGCTTGGAGATTAATGGAAAATTGTTCAGCAGGGGTGTAGACAAAGACTAAAAAAATTTGAGAATGATTCCATCTGCATCAGAAGGCCCTTTGCTTTGGCAGCATATTCATCATGCCCACGTTGAACAATATCAAGAGCAGACATGACTGTTTCATAATTCTTTAAGATGCTATCAATGGCAGAGTGACCAACAGTGCAACGTGTTGGACATAGAATTAGCAGTGATGCTGACACTGTGGAATCACCACTTGACACAGTTATATCTTTACACAAGCTGTCAAAGAGAGTTAGTCTCTTAGGTGAATACTTTATTAGCTGAACATGCTGATAAATGAAGTCCATGCAGTTACGCAGCATTTCACATTTTTTGTAACTTCTTGGACACTTAAATTAAGGCTATGAGCAAAACAGTGTACATAAAGGCAGTTTCCTGCTTCTTTCTTTACCAATGCTTGGACACCATTCCTTACACCACTCATATTTGATGCTCCATTGGCTTGACCTATACATTTATCAAAGGTAAGAGAACATCTTACTAATACATATTTTATCACACTAAAAATTGTGTGTGCAAAGGTATCGGGAAGCTTAAACAAACCCAGTGGTGTTTCATGAATGTCATAGTTGTTGTTTACCCAGCGTATAGCTACACATAGCTGCTCATGGTGTGAAATATCAGTAGCTTCATCTGCAATTAGGGAGAAATAATCGCTTTTACTAATATCTTTCAATATTGAATTTTGTCACAATACTGTTTGACCACAAATGGATATGATCTCATTAATGATTTCAGGTGAGATATATTCCCTTTTTTTCAGCCACAAACCAAGTGCGGCACTGTCTTTAGCCTGGAGAAGGAGCAACTGATAAAGATTTCCTTCAAAGGCTGTGCTGTTCTCATAGTGACCACGAAATGAAAGCCCTTGCCTAGCCAAAAACACAATACAGTTTTGAACCTTCATGAACATGGCACGGTGATTTTTCATTTCAGTGTCACGTTGTGAGCTAAGTTGCACTCCAACATCTACTGTTTTCATTATTGATGAAACCTTTGTTAAGGCTTCTCGGTGCATTTCACATTTTTCATGCTCAGAGAACTGCTGCAGTGCCTATTTCCAATTTGAAAAACCTCCCTCAATGAAGGCCAGATTATAACGTTTGGAAATTTTAACCAAACCACGTTTTCGTGCTGAGCAACATGTATATTGCAGTACACTTTGTAAGATGATGTGCATACAGTGATCCACTGGTACTTCGTATATACCAACTTGATTGAATTGAGCGTGAATAATACATACAATCCACCAGTTACATCATTTGTCCCCATTCTCGACGAACCTATGGTTGAAAGTGAAATTACAGCTGCTCTAAACACGTTAAAAAAGAATAAAGCTCCAGGTATAGATGGCATCCCTCCGTTAGTGTTTAAACTTTCAATGGTAAACTTATAATGTTTACAACGGCTCTTATAAACAAGTTACTTGAGGATATCCAGATGCTTGGAGCTTAGGTATAATTAAAACCCTTTGGGCGCCATTTACATATATATATGCACAGAGCCTCCATAAGTGCATAAGAATTTATATATGGCTATAATACTAGGCGCTAATTATGTTATACATGTACATCATTTCTGCTTATTTAAGGAGACACCTATGGCGCCCAAAGAGTTAAACCAATACTGAAGAAAGGAGATAAGAAATGTCCATCTAATTACAGGGGAATAACACTGCTCCCCGTAATGGGGAAATTATTTACGACAATCCTAAGAGACAGGCTATTCTACTGGGCTGAGCATAACAATAAACTTGGCGAAGCACAGTTTGGTTTTAGACCAGGAAGACGAACTACTGATGCAATCTTTGTTATCACCACAGCAATTCAATCACACAAGAAGAGAAATAAGCCACTGTTTGCGTGTTTTGTAGATTTTGCAAAAGCATTTGACTCGGTTAATCACCAACTACTTTGGAAGAAACTAGCCTCAATGGGTGTAAGCACAAAGATAATCAGAATACTAAAATATCAATGTACACTTTTGACTATTGGGTCACCCGGCCTCTACTGTCATAAAAATTATTACTAGAAGAATGTTGAACATTGTTGGCGAGCGGGAGCGACCCAACATGGGATTTGTCCGCGATGTTCGGGCTGCATAACGTGCCGTCAGCGCAGAGCTTTCCTTTCGTGAAACAAGACAGAGCTACATGTACCTGTCGCATTACATGCGTATGCCAGAACGGTGAGCAGGTGAGCAGAACGGTCCTTACCTTACGCTTTCAGCTCGTCTGTCGTGGTCCACCAGGCAGCTGGCATGGCAGTAGGCTAGGCAGCGATCGACCGGGCTGACCGACAAAGCGGCGTGTGTTAGCTGGTCCACCAGGCAGCTGGCCTGCAGCAGTATGTGCACGCGCAATCCTAGCGTATTCGCAGCTTGGAACCATGAAGATTGGGAAGAGGTACAGCCTCGGTCAGTCACCGAAGGTTGCAGAGCATGCCGTCGAATGGAGGAGAGTTGTCTCGCTGGCTAGATCGATCAGCGCATATCGCGAGGCACTGTGTGAAAATGTAAAATTTGGAAATAACTTCGGATAAAAGGAAGCGCGTACAATTTTAGAGTATGGAAATGAAGTATGGGGTTGTTTCCTAGCAGACGAGCTGGAATCCGTCCATAGAAAATTTTGCAAATTCGTCCTCGGGTTCCTAGATCAGCTGCCAAAATTGCTTGCTATGGGGTTCTAGGGCGAACCCCATTACTGATAAAGAGGAAGGTCTCACTTATTAAATACTGGTTCAGGGTAGTCTCAAATTGGGATGTTCCAGATCTTGTTAAAGATGCTCTAAATCCGAGGAGCTTCAAATATTATTATAATAAGCGCGTTCCCCATCACGCAAGCGACGCTGATAGAGACGAGTCTCTCTCTCCGATCAGGAGTCTCACGCGGGCACGACGTTCTCTTTCCCTCTCTCTTCGACGACGAAGGGCATCTTCTCTGGACTGATCCTTCCATGATTGCGAGAGTACGAAGCTACACACACGCGTATACGCACACATTACGACAGGCAGGCAGCATGTGAAAATTTAGAAATCCTTTCGGATAGCGCGTAATCCTGGAGCATGCGCAATTGGACGACGTACGGTCGTACTTAGTAGGTGAATGCACTGCATTTTTGGGCGAGCGGGAGCGATCTAACAATTGTGTACATGCACAAAAAGTTGTTTAGTTGTTCATAACAATGTCATGATAGTACAAATGCATAGAGTTGTACAAAGAGAGCTCAGTCCATCTCCACTGAGGCGATGATACTGTCACTGTTTCACGCTAGTCGTGCTTCCCTTTCTTCCGCTGTTTCCGTGGCCAGGCGTTGCCTTGCCCGTTCCCTATAACGCAGTCGCCGTCGAAAAACAGACCGGCACGACGTTCTCTTTCCCTTTCCCGTCGACGACGAAGGGCATCTTCTCTAGACCGATCCATCGCAGAAAGTGTGGTTGGCCTGTGTCACGAGTTTATAATACACGACTGTGTAAAATTTTGAAATGTTTTTTCTGATAAAAAGAAGCGCGTGGAATACGTAGAAATAATTATACGGTTACAAATATATAAAGGAAATCGCGCCGTTGGACTCACTAAAGTGCACTAGTCAAAACTGTTTACGCAACGTTGTGTCATAATTGAAATATCGCGAATATTTGCGGGCGTTGGATGAATATACGCTATGCTGCGCGTCCGTTGAATACGTTCCACGTGTGGTTCCGTGAGTTTTTCTAGTAAAGACGGTTTATTCAAACAACAAACCTCTCATTCTTGCCTTTTCCTTGGTCTGGGCTCCTGCAGTAGCGGCGCGGAGAGAGGGTTCTTGCTCGCGCTGCGCTACGCGCGCACACTCTACGCGTAAGCGCGCACATTGGACCCGCGTGATTGCATTTTCGTGGTCAAATTAGAAATCCTTTCGGAGAAAAAGAAGCGCGTAATCCTGGAGCATGCGCAATTGGACGACGAAAATTTGATTTCAATGCGCGCGGAACAGCCGTGACTGTACCTGCTTACCCGGGCCTGGGTATAAAAACGCCGAGGGTTGCGTGAGATGCCGTGTTGTTGTAGGTGCAATAGGACTGGCTCCTGTAAGGGGTGCGCCTGTGTAAAGGCCGGAAGACCCTGCACAAACTGCCTCCCTAGCAAGCTGGGAACCTGTGTGAACAGCTCTTCTAACAGCTCCCGCTCTCAACCGCCGTCAACCGTGTCGACTCCATTAAACGCCCCCCCAACAACCGACCTGGAAGTAACCGCTGCCTCCAATACTGCCGTCCAACCAACAGATACAGACAACGAATGCAGCACACAACTACCACCACCTGAAACGGTGAGTAGACCAGCGTTCACGTGGGGAAATCATAGTGCTATTGATTTTACCAACATTTTGGAAGCTACATACTCCGAAGTAGTTCACTGGAAACGTAACTCCTTCACAGTGCCATTTGGCAAAGCGGGGAGAGAATTTGTCAGCGAATTATCAAGGCTTTTTCAAGCCTTCGCCTCTGCCACGGCTCTTGAGTCAATAGCACTTAAGGCTGCCACTGTCCTCCCAATCCTGCTCTTGCAAAAACCACAAAAAGCCTCCAAAGCTAAGGACCACGCCAGCTCTCTTGAGAGGAGACTTAGATCCTGGAGAGAAGGCAATCTGAATGACCTACTACTAGAGGGCAGAGCAATTCAAGGCAGGCTGCCGAAAACTTTCACACCAAAATCTAAAGAGAAAATCGCCCGGTCTTTCGCCGACTTGATGTTTGCAGGGAAATGCAAGGCTGCCCTGGATCTCCTCTCCAACACTGGCGAAGGTGGCATTTTACACCTAGACGACCACATAGATCCAACTACCGACTCTCCTAATGTCCGGGAGGTGCTGCTCAGTAAGCATCCAACAGGCCAGACTGCCAATTCCAACTGCATCCTTCAATCTCCCCCTCAGGAGGCACATCCTGTGATCTTCGAGTCGATCGATGCCAGTGTCATTCGCTCAGCTGCGATGAACATCACTGGGTCTGCCGGACCATCTGGTATAGATGCACATGGGTGGAGGAGACTATGTACATCTTTCAAAGGGGCTTCAAGTGAACTATGCCACTCATTAGCCCTAGTCGCAAGAAGAATATGCACCTCATATGTCGACCCAAAATCGATATCACCTCTTCTGGCCTGCCGGCTCATTGCCCTAAACAAGAACCCTGGTGTCCGACCAATAGGCATTGGGGATACTGTGCGGCGGATCTTAGCCAAAGCAGTGCTGTCAGTAATGAAACCTGACATCCAGGAAGCCTCGGGCTGTCTCCAGATGTGTGGAGGACAGATTTCTGGCATCGAAGCAGCAGTGCATGCCGTGAGAACCGCCTTTGACTCCAGTGACACTGAAGCAGTCCTCCTGGTTGACGCCACCAACGCATTCAATTCCTTGAACCGTCAGGTTGCTCTTCATAACATCAGAAGGCTCTGTCCACCACTCGCACCCATACTCATCAACACATACAGAGCATCAACAGAACTGTTCGTGGATGGCGACACTCTACTTTCCCAAGAAGGTACGACACAAGGGGACCCACTAGCCATGCCCATGTATGCCCTCGCCACCATCCCTCTTATCAAAAAACTGAAGGGCAACTGCAAGCAGATCTGGTATGCAGACGATGTAGCCGCCGTAGGAAAGCTAGCAGACCTGCGTGTGTGGTGGGACCTTTTGACCAGAGAAGGACCTGACTTCGGCTACTTTCCCAATCCATCCAAGACGTGGGTAGTAACAAAGGAAGGCTGTCACACTACTGGGCTCTCTACCTTTGCTGGCACAGGGGTGAATGTTACATCCGATGGCAGACCATATCTAGGTGCAGCAGTTGGCTCAGCCGAGTACGTGGAGAGTTATGTGAAGTCGAGGGTTGACTCCTGGCTATCCATGGTGCGCAACCTAACAACAATAGCAAAGACTCAACCACATGCAGCCTACTCGGCTCTCACACATGGTCTCTCAAGCAAGTGGACCTACCTATGTCGCACAGTTCCCAATATCAGCAACCTACTAAAGCCGCTCGATGACATCTTGCGTACCGAACTCATCCCAACACTTACAGGAAGGCCCCCACCTAGTGACCTGGAGTGTGCCATGTTTGCCCTGCCAGCAAGAATGGGTGGACTGGGAATAACAATCCCTTCCACTCAAGCCGACCAGGAACATCAGTCATCCTTACTGGTTACCTCTGCCCTCCAAGACCACATCACACTACAAGATGAGGCCTACGGGTATGAAGTCATTGCCCAGCAATTGGAATCCAAGGCCATTGTTAGAAATAGAAACAAGGAAAATCGTTCAAAAGCCGCCGGCGATGTGCTAGAACTTTTACCAGACAACCTGCAGAGGTCGGTGAAACTAGCAAGCGAGAAAGGATCCTCCACTTGGCTCACTGTCCTGCCACTTTCAGAGCATGGCTTTGCCCTGCACAAAGGAGCTTTCCACGATGCCCTGGCATTACGGTACGGCTGGACACCAGAGAGACTTCCTTCGAAATGTATCTGTGGTGCCTCTTTTTCAGTTGAGCATGCTCTGTCCTGTGCCAAGGGCGGCTTTCCATCGATCAGGCACAATGAGATACGGGACCTGACAGCTACCCTCCTCACAGAAGTGTGCAAGGACGTGTGCATTGAGCCAGAGCTTCAGCCTGTGAACGGTGAAGAATTGACGGGGTCAACTGCCAACTCCCAGGAAGGTGCCCGCCTTGATATCGCTGCAAATGGTGTCTGGGGTGGTACCTTCGAGAGAACCTACTTCGACGTTAGGGTATTTAATCCCCATGCCCCGTCAAACAGACACACCAACCTGCAGTCAGTCTACAGAAAGCACGAACAAATCAAGAAGCGTGCATATGAACAGCGGATAAGAGAAGTTGAACATGCTACCTTCACGCCTCTGGTGCTCTCTGCTACCGGTGGCTTGGCCAGGGAGGCCAACACTTTCTACAAAAGACTCGCCTCCATGCTCGCCTCCAAGTGGGACCACACCTACAGCCACACTCTCCGCTGGCTACGTTGTCGTCTAGCCTTCTCCCTTTTACGCTCCTCCATCCAGGCCATCAGGGGTGCAAGATCATCATGCGGACATGCCATCAGAATGCCCATGGCGGTCGATTTGATCATCTCGGAAACACACCTTGTATCACTCTAAATTGCTCTCTATCTTCTTATTTATACCTGCATTCATACTGTATATAATATAACGTCGTGTGACGTTTAATTAAAAAAAAATAAAAAAAAAATTAAAAATTTTCGTGGTCAAAGGAACGTCGCGTACTTTGCTTATGTGACATACAGTTAAGTACGTAAGTGGGCGTTGGACGCGCTCGCAAAGCAGATAAATAGAACCTACGCTCAACTACAACCACGCTGCGCTTTAAAATTTGGAAATCGGTCGCTGTTTAGCTACATTACGGCAGATTACATACCGGCAAGGTGAACACGAATAGACTTTAGGTTAGCTCGCTCCCGCTCGCCAATAAATATATAGAAAATCCGCGCCGTTCGTACCACTAGGCTAGCTCGCTCCCGCTCGCCAATCAATAGAAAAATCGCGCCGTTTGGACCACTAGGTTGGATCGCTCCCGCTCGCCAACTAGTAGGCGAATGCATGGAATTCTTGGCGAGCGGAAGCGAGCACACAATGACTGTATCTGCACGAGCAATCATGTATAGCAGCGTGTAGAAGCGCGCTATCCTGGCGCATGCGCAGGTAGCACATGTGAAAAAAATTGGAAATGATTTCGGATAAAAAGAAGCGCGTACGAAGCCGCGCATGCGCACTTACACGACGTACGTGGTCGATAAAAATCGCGCCGTTTGGACCACTAGGTTAGCTCGCTCCCGCTCGCCAATTATACTGAGCGACATCCAATTTTTGTTGTTAGTTATACTTCATGATGATAGAAGCAAGTGCTTTTATATAAACAAACGTTTGGAGTGGGTGGAGCAAAGTCTTGGCAACAACAAAGTCGTGTGCACAGCAGCCGGGCGGGCCATTCCACGGTCTAACAGTTGCCGACCTGAGCCATTTATACTTCTTCTAACACAGGCTAGCTGCATCAGTTGGTAGCAACGCTGGACTTGATAGACACTCCCTGAGTATCTTTATCTCATCACAGTACACTGACTAGCCGGTACTGATTATGCATATTGGCTTTGTCCATGCTATGCAACCGTTTTTCACCCCTTGTAGCACAGAAGCACTTGGTATTGTTCATAGGAATCCTCGGTGCCAGAATATCTGTCGACGCACACACACATGCACACTGATAGACAAACCAAGTGCTGTAACCCTTGCTCAGCATGCACACTGAGGGTTTATGATATATACTATGAAAGAAGTGCCCACCTTCCTACATGCCATACTTGTATATGACATGTTATATATTTTCAGAAAAAGAAAAGGATAAGGTGCTCTCTGCTTCCTAGTTTGAACTTAAAACCTCAAAGGCCTATTTAATTTCGTATAAAGTTTGGTGAAGATACGCAAAATATCAGTGGAACCACAAGTGTCACCGATATTACCAAGTTTACTGGTGATACCAATGAGGATTCAGTTGTCAGCGGTCCTGTGTGACAACCTAACGCTAACAGGTCTGGAACTGGTGAGGAAGAACTTTATTGGCAGTTCGAGGGAAGACAAATTCCAATAGCCATATCTGGAGAGGGTGATCATTCAGGATTTAAAAAAGACAAATTTAGCACTGCAAAGATTTCATAATAAACCAGTAAAAGAGGGAGATTTTACATGCTTCTATCATCCTAAAGAGAGTAGAGATCTCCATGTCTCGGTTGATATCTACTTTCCAAGTGAGGGAACAAGAATGCCTTTATCTTTTGGTCTTTGGTGGTTTTTTATTGAGCAGAGTTTAACTTCTTGGAAAAAATAAACAAAACTAAATATGGTTGCTGCTCTACAATAATTACGAGAATCCTGTGAATAGCTACAGATTAGTGATTAGTGACAGGGTCAGGGCGTATTATAAAGCACGTCATTCGGCAGTCCGGCAGCGTTTTTCGTAATTCTCGCAGAACTTTCGCGCGCTAGCCTTGCGGAGCCACTCAATCCGCGCGCATTAGTACGTTTGACGTATGTACCTTACGCGCGGGAGAATCTTGACGTCCAACCTCCGACCTCCGGGTGCGTGCGGATGACCTGACTTTCCACACATTCTTGTATAATACGCAGCAAGTGGCAGCAAAATGTATAGTCGTGTATCTATCCTATTCGTTCTATGCTGGTGTTTTATTTTCACCTCTTCCCGGGAAAACCGTAGGAATCCAAACCGTAAGTACTGCCTAGCTCTTTATTAGCTAGCTACTGGCAAAGCCGAGCAAAGCTAGCTGGTAGCTACTTTAGAGTACTGCATGTCCGGTAATGGAAAAAGCAGGTTCGTGATGTGGCCAGGTAATAATCATGTGTCACTAATCTGTCAACCAGCTATTGAGGCAACCTTATCTTACCTTCATAGTGTGTACTAGTTTACGGGCTTCTGTGCAGCCTAAAGAACAAGGCCATGCACAAAATTCGCTGTTTGTTCTCTTTGTGTTCGTTAAAAAAGAGATTGACCAGATTCTCGTTCAATTTGTAGATGCAATTGTAGAGCAGACACCCATTTTGGTTTTGTTTGTTTTTTCCAAGTAGTTAAACTGTTCATGAAGTGTGGTGAACTTAAGGAAAATATCAGTGGACCCATAAGTGTCACCGATATTAGCAAGTTTACTGGTGACACCAATGAGGATTCAGTTGTCAGTGGTCCTGTGTGTCAACCTAACATTACAGAGACTGGAGTTAGTGAGATAGAACTTTATTGGCAGTTCGAGGGAACGAATATTCCGAGAGCCACGACTGAAGAGGGTGATCGTTCAGGATGGATCGCTGTGATTTATGCTGATGGAGGAAAGCTAAATTTAGCACTGCAAAGATTTCCTAATAAACAAGCGAAAGAGGGAATTTTTACATGCTTCTATGTTCCTGACCGTGGTAGAACAATCTCTGTCTCTGTTGGTATCTACTTTCCAAGTGAGTGAACAAGAATGCTTCTTGTCTCTGGTCTTTGGTGGTTTTTATTGATAGGCCTTTGAGTTTTGTAGTAGGCCTTGTAGCTAAAACTAGGAAGCGGAGAAAGATCTTACCTGTCTTAATTTAAATGTGTCATTTAATATGTCATAGTGTACAAGCATGGCATGTAGGAAGATGGGCACTTCTTTACGCTGATCAAAAGGCTAAATTTAGAACTGCAAAGGGTTAGCTACAACCCAAAGAGGATATTTCTTGTTTACTATGGTTCAATCCCTCTCTCTGTTGGTAGCTACCTACTTTCCAAGCAAGTTTCTCTTTAAAAGGCCTTGATGACCCCTTGTTTTTTACTTTTTGGAGCTTCAAGCCATCCCTATATTCCCCTTCACTTGTTTTCACTATTTTTAACAGCTTATGACAACACTGCATTTTATTGTTACAGTCACTTTGATGTTCATGGGTATGTTGTAGATAGGCTACCATAGACAAACTCTAACTGTTGAAAGCAGTAGATAAATGGGATGTTAGTGCCTGAAGCAGGGGCTAGATACCGCATTCATTGTCTTAAGTATGTAATTGCACATGGTTGTGGTTTCATGGGCAGGCTTTGGTAATCAGGGCTACAACCTAGGGGGACAAACATTGAGCGCCCCGCAAGGCTCGCGTAACACCGCGCAAACTCTGCCAAGTTGCTCCTCGTGCAAATCAATAGCAAGCTCGCCAGTTGGAAATGTGCACATTTACTTACAGAAGGCACTGGGGGCTGAGAGTTCCTCTGCAGGTCTGTTAACGCGCGCACAGCGCGCATTGGACAACGCCCCTGCCTGGCGCATGTGCGCGGCTCACTGATGCTGAGTTAGCAGCAAATGGCGTTGTTCAGTGTCGACCATGGAAGTGCTCCATGATCGACTTGCGGCAAGAAATAAACGATCGCTTGATTTCCGTGCACACCTCCGGCGAAATTGGAGACGTTCAGTGAAAATATCAGCGCTTGAACTGGTATAGGAGATAGCGGGTTTAAAGGAGAAGATGAAGAATAATGACGAAATCGTGAAATCGCGAATTCTCGTGTGGACAACTGAAGGTGCGTATGATGTCTTTGGGAACATGTATAGATAGATATGGGCCCGTAGACTCTTGCTACTGTGTTTTGAAGGCCTAGGGAGTCATTCTCACCGACGTTTTGTACGCGGATCACGTGAGATTTCACTCGTGCCATCCCTATATAGAGAGTCTACCGACTCTCTAATGTTACTTATCCCCTTCTTTTGATTAAATGTGTGCTAATTATGTCATCAACCATGGCAAGTAGGAAGGTGGGCACTTTTCCCTTTTAATTCAATAACTATGTAGCTTCATTAACCCTCAGTGTGCATGCTGAGCGAGGGCTACAGTACATGGTTTGTCTGTCAATGTGTGTATCTATGGCTATTCTTGCACAAAAGGCTATCAAGCGGCAGAAACGAATGCATTCGAGAGATATAGCTAGCATGAAAAGAGCAAATATCCATAATCATGGATGAAGATACTCTGAGGGTGTCTATCTAGCTTGCTGTAGCCTGTGTTAGAAGAAGCTCGGGTCGGCAACTGTTAGACCGTGGCATGGCCCGGCCCAGCTGCTGTGTGTATGACTTAGTTGTTGCCAAGACTTTGCTGCACCCGCTCCAAAAGTTTACATGCTACTGCCATCATGTTGTACAGCTAACAACGAAAAAATAGAAGCTGGGAGTCACTATAATTGACGAGCGGGAGCGAGCCAACCTAATCGTCGCAACGGGCGATTTTTATTTATTGTCCCGTGTCCGCACGTCGTGTAAGTGCGCATGCGCGGCTTCGTACACACTTCTTTTTATCCGACATTTTCACACCCGGTGCCTCGCGACATGCGCCGATCGATCTAGCCAGCAAGAGAACTCTCCTCCATTCGACGGCATGCGCTGCAACCTTCGGTGACTGACCGAGGCTGTACCTCTTCCAAATCTTCATGGTTTGAAGGTGCAACTTGGAAATAAGCTAGGATTGCTCGTACAGATACTGCTGCATGCCAGCTGCCTGGTGGACCACGACTGACGAGCTGAAAGCATGAGGTAAGTACCGTTCTGCTCACCTGCTCACTGTTCGGCCAATGTACAGTAGGCATGTAATGGCGACAGGTACATCTGTCTTGCTTCACGAAAGGAAAGCTGTGCGCTGACGGCACGTTATGCAGCCCGAACATGGCGGGAAAATCCCAAGTTGGGTCGCTCCCGCTCGCCAACAATGTTCAACATTTCCACTAGTTATTTTGATGATTTGATGATAAGGGCTGCAAAGCCGCTTGTTAACCCTTGGCGCGCATGCGCAGCGAGGGTTATTGGCGAGCGGGAGCGAGTTAACCTAGTGGTATATACGAACGGCGCGGAATTTTCCTTAATGGCGAGCGGAAGCGAGCGAACCTAGTGGTCCGAACGGCGCGATTTTTCTATATATATATGTCACCGTATGTTGTCGAGCGTCGCCGAACTGCGCATGTCACCGTACGTCGTCGATACGTCGCCCACCCCTCTGTAGGCTCCACCCCTGATAATTTGTGAGCGTGTGAGGAAAGGGAAAGAGTTATGGATCGGTCTAGAGAGGATGCTCTTCGTCGTCGACGAGAGAGGGAAAGAGAACGCCGTGCCAGTGAGACTCCTGAGCAGAGAGAAGCTCGGCTTTCTCAACGCTGATTGTGAACGGGCAAGGCAACGCCGGGCAACAGAAACAGCGGAGGAAAGGGAAGCGCGACTAGCGAGAGGTCGTGTACGATCAAGAGCTAGACGCGGTGCAGAATCCGAGGAAGCACATCAGGCCAGGCTCCAACAGCTTCAAAGCTATCAGGCACGCCAAATTGCTGTCTAGTCCAGTGAGGAGAGAGGCCCGCCTACAGCTGCTACGCACAAATCCGGAGCAGAGAATTGCTGCCGAGTCCAGCGAGGAGAGAGAGGCCCACCTACAGCTGCTACGCAGAAATCAGGAGCAGACAATTGCTGCCGAGTCCAGCGAGGAGAGAGAGGCTCGTCTGCAGCAGTTACGACATAACCAGCAACAAAGGATTGCCTCAGAGACTCCACAAGAGACTGAAGCAAGACGTCAGCGTGACCGAGAAAGTCACATGCAGCAGGCAAGTACTGCCACTTCAACCCAACCTCAACTTCACCAGCCAATTGTCCAATCAAAGATGAGCAAGTTCCATTCTGATATGGCATCTTTGCAGATGTCCCTGTGCCGTGAGAGGTTCCCTGGCTTGACTGTCTGGATGACTCCATCTGGTACAGAATGTTTGCGTTGTGTTCGGGACAAACACAGTCCTAAAGCTCACTCAACAGTGGACCCTGGGCCTCTGCCACATGGATGGGAATAGTGTTATGATTGCCACACCTATTGTGATGATTGTCACACCTATAGCAAAGTTACCAGATACTGTTTAAGGGTCTGACACAGGTGGAAGAGATGCTAATCTCTGCAGTGATGCCCATCATGTCTGTACAGACTGCCGCAGGGACAGTACGGGTACACAGGACATGTAGTCAACCTGCCACAGGATGTGGCCTCCTTCGCTCAGAGTCTGCAACGACTGCCTTCTGACCTGGATGTCATTGTTGTGAGGAGGGAAGGATCCAACCAGACCCATCGTGACTTCCGAGTAAGGCGAAGTGTAGTTCACAGAGCTCTGAAATGGCTGGTTATCCACAACCAGTACTATTGGTCCTTAGGTATTACCACGGCTTTGGAACAGCTCCCATAAGATGGAAATGTTTCTGACCTTGTATCAGTCACTCAAGAGACCTCATCCTCAGACAGTTGTACCAGCACATCAACAGTTGACAGCACTTCTAGGGATATAACCAATGATACATTGTACGATGAGCATCTGCAAGAGTCATTCGTTCCTATTGCTGTCCCCTCAATGACGGAGCAGGAGGCAGTGCAGCAGTCAGTGGATCAGCGTCAATCCAGCTCCTCCTCTGACACACCTCTGATGTGGCCCTCCATTGGTGGAATGCCACTCAATGAGTTCACCACTGAAGGCTACTTCACCTGTGCCTTCCCCACCCTTTTCCCACAGGAGCAGCTGACTTCCTTGCCAGCGTCTGGTCCCAGCCACCATCGGGAACTACTTCAAGCACCTGATGCAGTACGATGACTGTTTTGTGCACACACAAGAGTGACTCATACGATTAGACCCCATTTGTAAGCTCGCTTCCGCTCGCCAAAAATGCCATGCATTCGCCTACTATATAGTATCTCTACGACCGTACGTCGTTCAACTGCGCATGTTCCAGGATTACGCGCTTCGATTTCACATACTGCCTGCCTGTCATAATGGTGTAGCACCATACTTTTGCAATCATGGATCAGTCCAGAGAAGTTGTCCTTCGTCGTCGAAGAGAGAAGGAAAGAGAACATCGTGCTCGTGACACTCCTGAGCAGAGAGAGGCTCGTCTGTATCATCGCCGCTTGCGTGATAGGGAACGCGCTTATTTTCATTTTTACACGCTGCCTAGCTGTCATATCGACTCTACGAAATCTAGCAAGCGAAAGAACTCTCGTCTATTCGTTGGCATTCGCTGCGCTCTTCAATACCTGACCGAGGCTGTATATACCTCTTTCCAATCTTCGTGGTTCTAAGGTTCGTCCGTCCGTCCGTCTGTGTGTCTGTTACCACGTTTTCTCCCGCTACGCGCAACAAGACGGCCAAAAACCGGTACCAACGGGTGCCACACTTGCTTTATTTTTAAAATAGCGATTTTGGTATGGCGTGAAACAAAGTTAAGGAGCTAATAAGCAAATTAGCACTGGCTTACCTCGGCCAGCTCTGTGTACCTTGGAGGCACCAGAAGTTGCAACGCAGGACGAGTAATGGCTCCCGCGTGCTATCAACAGTGTAGCAAGCCTGTGATCGACTCTCAGCGAGCTGGTAAGCGACCACGAGTCAGTAAAATGATAAAATTGGACCAGCCCACCAATTAACAGTGCCGCGCATGCGTACGGCATAGCGTGAACGTCATCAGCATCTACACCTTGCATGGGACAAGGCTGAGTAGAAAAGCATTGCAGGTGACCTGCTGAGGCACAGCCTGCCGAGTAAGAAAGCGTTAATATCCTGCTCCTCCCCCTCACCATTCAGACATCAGAATGTTCACAGGGTGAGCGAGGATCTACCATTGCTATCCGGCTGATGTAGCCAGCCCATGATGACATGTAGCAGCTTAATAGTATGTACATGTACTTACGCATGTGTATACAAACTAATCACGCCCACTGCGCCGAGGGTTAGCACTTCAGTGTCTTTCATTATAAGTGTAGTGCCATTACATTATTATGCTTACCACAAAATGGAACAATTTCGTAATGGTGTCCTCTCTGTAGTTTCATCAGTATCAGGTGCAATTGAAGTGATGTCAGGAAGGGAAGAGACTTTCAGAGTGAGATGTACCTCTACTGGTGGGTGGACACTGAATATGACTGTTTCTGGACCACAATATTCTAGTGAAGAACAAGGCCATATGATAGTAGAACCAGTTGGGGTTCCAGAGAAAATAGGAAATGATACCTACACTGCCACTACCAGTACAATATCTGGAGGATGTGATGGAGATGTATACCAGTGTAATGCATCTAATGGAGCTGCCTCTTATCGAAACAATGTTGTGAAATTGAGAGGTATTTTATAATAATTACTGTTAGCACAGCCTTGTTAGTTAATGAAAATCGTTTTCGACAATTGGTAGTGCTGAATTTTTTTAAGTTCCTGTTGACCCTTTCAGTATAACACTAACTAAACAAACAAAACATGAAAAGTACTAAAGTGCAAACCCTGTGCATGGGCGGTACCGCTAATTGATGTGCTGGGCTATTAGTATGCGTTTACTCGTGGTCTCCCGCTAGTAGCTCACGGAGAGTCTGACACGAGCTAATAGATAGCATGCGGGAGTCGATACACGCCCTTTGATGTGACTTCATGTTCCTTCAAGATACACAGAGCAAGCAGACCCGGTCGACGTAAGCCTGTGCTAATTAGCATATTGGCTTGTTCACTTGGTTTTCATGCCATAACTTTAGAACGCAGTATTTTTCATTTTTAAAATGAAGCCAGTGTAGCGCTGAACCTGTTTGTGTTGCTTTTTGGCCCGTTTGTTGCACGTGGTGGCAGAAAACGTGGTAACAGACGGACAGACAGACCAAGTACTGTAACCTTCGCTGCGCATGCACGCCGAGGATTAATAATTAGCTACTTTCATCCCTACAGTGGCCTCTGATCCATTCAATCTAACACTGACTCAGACATCAGCTACGTCAGTGATTGTGGAGTGGAGCCAGCCATCAGGAGGAGCCACAGTGACTGGATATGTAGTACACTACAGTCATGGAAACAGTAACATTATGAATCTGACTGTAGCTGCATCCTCCACTAGTTCAAACATAACCAATCTCGACAGGAATACATCCTATCAATTCTCAGTGGAGGCTACATCAGAACATCTGTCTGGAGAGTCCAATAACTGCACAATAACACTGTTTGGTAATGTTTTTGTTGGGCTCTAGATACTATTGTTACCATTACACAAACACAGATCATTCTGAAATGATAACACAGTTATATAACAGTAACTACCACAGTTTCCCCCTTGCCAACTGAATCAACCCAAGTGTTTTTTATATTGTAAAATTTTGTAAGAACCATCATTTTAACTACTAATCCAGAACACACAGAGAAAGTCCCCCAAACATGCAAACATATTATCACTCTTACATGTGTGCCATTTCACAGGTACAGTGACTACCATGGTGTCTTCTACTGTCCCACCAGGTACTTCAGCTGCACCTTCATTACTTTCATCTGGTAGGAGGAAACAATTTTTATCCTCATTATGTTGCATTTTGACATTTTACCGTTTGTCATTTACGTATCTTGTATTGCAAGTGGCATTATGACCTCTGTCTCACTAGCTCATACTACCAATGTTAACCCAACCATCCCAACTCCACTCGTATCATCACCACCAACAAGTACGTCCATTAATTTTAATTGAGGTCCACTTATCAATGAAAAAAACGAGCCTCTTCTCCTAGGAACCTGAATGTTGGCCGGGACCTGTTCTAGTCCAGTAGTCAGCTTCTGTCCACCTGAATGTGTCTATTTGCGTAGGCATTACCTAGGTTCATGGACTACGTACCTACTTCACTCTTTTGCCAAAAAATGTGTGTTCATTAGTTCTCCAGGTACATAGGTATCACATTCCTAATGACGGAGCTTAATATATCACATTGCTAATTGGCAATATTTATAGGCTTTGGGACTTTTTTGCTATATACATTATCGACATTGACACGACTACGTTGACCACTTCATTGTATACAACTGCTACCGGAACTGCCCCCACACTAACTGAATCAGCTTCATCTGGTAGGATGTGTGCATATGGGCATAATATCTTATTCCTAGTAAGACCAAAGTCGAGGGGTACACTGGTGACATACATGTTTTATGGCCCACATGATCCTGATTAGTCAACTTTTTGACCCTGTCAATCCTCTGGGTACATGCGAATTACCTGACATTGCCACACATTCATGTACGCAGCAAAATGTATAGCCGTCTATCTATCCTCTTTGCTCTACGCTGAGCACATCAAAACCCCATTCAATGCAGTTACAACACCTTACACCTTATCACATCCATACACAAAACTAGAGGCGCGGCCTCAGGATTTTTTGTGACTAAACATATTGCTGTTATGGTAAGCCCTCTTCTTACGCTCACACTCCATGCATATCTATATAATTATTGATAACAGTTCTCGCTGTCACAGTCCGTCTTGTAAATCTCGTTACCCTTTTTTTCATCCCCCTTTGAATCATTTTTAATTAATTAATTTGCAGGCATTTCTATGAAGATTCCTGTTTCAGTCACTCCTACTTCCTCTGTTTGCTTGATCAGGACTCCGTTACCATCATCATCACTTACAATTACTGTGTGTTCGTAGAAAGCGGCACAAAAATGTAGGATGTTCTACAGTAGCTCAGCCAGGACCACAAGGGTCTGATCATAGTATTCATAGTTTCAAACTAAGCATGTTCCTTATAATGACCCTTCTCCACAGTTATGATACACATGTATGATTGACTCCCTGATAGTTATTGATGAGGCACATACACCACCTAGTGATGGCTGCCGAGAATCAAGAATCTACCTTACCGTTGGAACTGCTTTGTCTGTGTTTGGAGTGCTTATAGGATTCTTATTTGGATTCTTATTTGGTTTCATTACCGCTACCAGGAGAAAAAGGTAGAAAATTGTGTGTGTATACATGATTAAAAACCTCACTCTCAGTCTGTGTAGTAGTACTAATGAAGTGATTGCTGAGGAGAATCCAGCCTATGGTGTGACACTCGGTCCAGCACCAGCAACCACCACTGAGCCACTACCAACTGCTCCTCAGCCTCAGGAGGCTGAGTATGAACTGATCCCTTTTTAGAACGTAGACCACGATACACATCGTGTTTAACATTAGCAGCAATATTTCTGTTTAAGTGCATGTTATACATAATTGTGAATAGGTACAGAATGACTGCGCCCAAATCGACCTTATTAATTTATTATATAACCGCATCACACTTCTTAGTGAAGATTCTGACCCACAATTTTGTTAGGTAGGTAAATTAAAAGACGACAGAACAGCAACTTTCCAGAACAGGTCTCCCCAAATTTTATATGCTGAGACTCCACAACAGATATATACATACACCAACATAATCGGCAGCCCTCAACGATCTCTGACGATGTCGGCTTGAAGAGGGCTGATAGTGCTGTGATGAGTTATTTTTAAAATTCTGTTGTACACTGCTCCTATAGACAGCTGGCTTAGCTGGTTTGTGATGTGTGTGAGCATACAGCATAAACATATTTTGTGGCTATTAAGGGATGTAATGGCATGGCATGACAAGCAACTCAGTTCGTCGACAGGAGGGACGGTTGTGTCTACCATCGATCGTGCTGATCTATAAGACACTTAGAGTGCTCTGCTGCTGACCTACAGACAGAGACTCTGGGACACCTTGTAATACAAACAACAAAGAAAGAGAGCTTAGCATGTCTCCCTTTCTAAAAAGAGGGGGGTTGGGTCTTGTACCGCCATCTTTCATTTGGGATGAAGTAATAAACCTAATGTGACAGTCATAGACTGATTTCATCACACGCGAGATCTCTGTTCGGGCAATTCTCCTTCTGCATTATTGTGATGAGAAGTGACCCGGCCATGGCTCGCAAGATGTTAGCAAAGAGGACAACGGCGGTAGTGGCTGTTGATGATGCATGGCCAAGAAGGAAACACTTAGAGTCTCTGCAATCTCAGAGCTCTGTTGATAGTGGACTCGACTTTTGGGCTTCGGGGTTTCCAGTTTAAATTTTGAATGTATGAAGTTTGCCCTCGTTGCGACTTCTGACACTCAGACCCACAACTTCATCTGGCCAACTAGAGGAAGAGGTTTGTCTCTGAGGAGACTGGCAGACTCTCCAGTCTCCACAATGTTTGTAGTTAATAACTGCAATCGAAGCCTTGAGCCTTCACGCAGATACAACAAGCGCCATGACACAGGGTTCTGGAAGTGATGAGAGAGCTAGCCAGAGCCCACCTCCCGGATAATAATCAGCTACATAGTTGTAGACCTTGCAGACAGTGACTACTCACTCCTGGCTCACTTTACCTAAACAAACCTACGTCCAAAAGTTGGTAGTCTGGTCTGACAACTATACATCATGGAGATTACTGGGTATTTAGAGTCTGATATACTATGGCAAGGAGGGCAGGTTGTAATGTGGAGTTAGTGTCTGAAACCAGAACAAATGATTTTCTTCAAATGCCCGGTGATGCCAGTGCAGGTTGGGAGCAGAGGAGTGCTGGATGGATGAGTCATTCTGCAGACTCTTCAGTAAGATATCAGAAAAACACTTCGTGTCAACAGTCATCAAAGAGTCCCACAGAATTTGGTGTGACAAGAGTCTATTTAAACTGGCCAACCTTCATTCCCACGCAGTAACATTAACCGTTTAGTCTTACTCTCAATGTGATAAGTATGTTAGGGAATGCTATATTATAGGCTTTGTTCAATTGAAAAATATTATAACAGGGACCTCTCATCTTGTTTTTGCATATTATAATTATAGCTACAAGTAAAAGAGGATTTTCTTTTGAGAGATGAGGGCTAAATAGCAAGTTCTGTGTGAGAATTTAACATAACCTCACTTCTCGCCACTTATATAAGAAGGTGTTTTTCTTGAAGATAAACTCGAATGTCATGGCATAACACAAGAAGTTTTAGATGGTAACTCGGTCTGTGGGCGTGGTATGACAAGGTTGATTATGAAGACGGACTAGGAGAAGTGCCTCCGTGATGCTCAGAACCATCAGAGTACTGCTGTGGCTGCAGAGATAGCTTCCTCCACCTCCCGGGTAAAGCTCTGGGACATGGCGTTGGATCATGGTCATCAGGGGACTGTCTCTCTGCAATCACTGTTTTTTCGGGAACTAACTAGGCCAGCTTTTGGTTCCAAACCTTGCCATCGCTGTGAAATTGATCATATTCATGAACCTTACTTCAACCTCCCATTCTACCATTGGGGTCAGCCCTACCACCATTGTTCGTCAACTGGCTGATGGAGACCTGGATGTATTGTTTGCCAAACAGTTTCTGCGCACCGTCTAACCTAATGTACGTAATATATTCCCATTTCCTTTATTAATCCTCGGTGCGCATGCGCAGCGATGGTTACTGTAGTCGTTCTGTCTGTCTGTCTGTCGACGCTTATTCTGGCACTACAGGCTACGAGGCGGCCCAGCGATACCAGCGGCTTCAGAACTACGCGAGCCTGAAATATAAAAGGGCGATTTTCCTGAAACGACTGCGTTCGAGAGCGACAAACTGGCACCGTACCGAGTTGTGTGGCCCAACCCATCATTAAGCGGTGCGCATGCGCGATCAACGCGGTAGGCTGGCTCCATCTGGACCTGAACCGCTTGCTCTGTGCACCTTGGAGGCACAAGAGGCCACAGCGAAGGGCGTGTATCGACTCCCGTAGCTAACCCGTGTCAGACTCTCCGCGAGCTACTATCGGGAGACCAATAGCCCAGCCCATCCATTCGGTACCGCGCATGCGCAGTTCGCCGAGGGTTTAAATGCGCTCAGCCACAGAATCTACGAAGACTCTTTATGTCCATCTCTCTCTGAGTACAGACTCTTTGTGGGTCGACCACATAATAATGTCTCGCACATTCTGACGTGGTTAACCATCTTTCACGCGATGAAAGAGGCGGATATGGACACAATATTTTCAATTACAAGTTCTAGACTAAACCGTATATTTTCTGTCACCTACCTCATTTCCTCTCGTCATTTTTATTTTTCTCGCTATAGCTCTGTATGCCAATGCCCTACGAGTCGTGCTTATGAAACTTATGAACTTATGAAACTTATGAGGGTTTGCACTTTAGTGCTTTTCATTTTTATTGTTGTACCTCTTTGGCTTCCTTTATTGTGATGAATGAAGTCCGTTCGCGTTCATTTTGCACTTGCCGTAACTCCGCTATACTACGGCCAAAACCGGATATTCAAAGCGCAACGCGCTGCTGCGCGCGCATAGGCTACGTCGATGCAGGGTTTACGTCCGATGCTCGCTAACAAAGTTACCTGTATGTCCCATATATATAGAAAGTATGGACATTCCAGTGGCCACAAGGAATGCAATCGTGCGTACGCGCGCACCGTTACACGCGCGTACGCTTTCTGCGCATCCGTATTGTGCGGTTTAATGCATCCAGGACATGTGGGTTCCTTTGCGCGTAGTTGCACTATAAGCTTGATAGCAACAGGGTATACAAAATGCGTTGATCGTTCCAAATACTCAGGTTGGAACAGTCATAGAGAGAGATTCCTGAAGTTGCTGTATGTCTCAAATGACCTTAGATACACCAGCACAGCTTGAAACACCAATTCATATTGAGCCTGTGAAAATAAAAGCTTTCAAAGTGACTGCATTAGCTTGCTAATGGCTGGTTTAGTGTGACAAGTATGCTCCACTAATGTGTAGTGTGAGAAACCACAATTATGTATTTTTATATTCTTCCGGTCAGGGAAGATACCAGGCTAATAAAATCCTTTCACCCTCAATCATGCATTATAAAGTAGCTAACTATTCTATAAATAATGATTAAAGAACGCCCATAGCACAGAGAAAAGGTTATTGGACGATCACTCAAAACTAACTACCATTGGCGGTCAATCTTACCTGTCTAGTATAACAGACTAAACATTGTACAAGCCTAGAAATCCTAGCCATAATTAAAGAATGAAGCGATATAAGTTCCACTAACCACAGTGAGGACAGCTCCAGGTTTGTGTACCCTGAGAGCCTTGACCACCTGGAACACATCCACCACTCCCTCTGTCTTACACCTCTCAATGGTGGTGACTATGGCACAGAACATCCCTGACCTACCCACTGTGTCACTGTGGGAAAAGAGAAACCTCATTAGCATTGTTTGTGCCCCATCCTGACAAAAGTGGAGTAGCAAAGCACAGCATGGATGGAACATAGCCAGAAAATCTACACTGCAGAGCCAGATGCTCAATGCATGGTCCAGTAGGAAAAGAGATAGTGGTCTGGCCACAAGGTTCCAGTAGGAAATACTTTTGGCAAAGAAAAATGTCACTTTCATAACGTTGCATAAGCTTTTGGCCTTCTCCAAATGGTTACTAGACCTTACATCACTCCAGAGTCTGAGAACAAGTCTATACACAATGGGTACTCAAATGGCACACAATACCCCACACACCTGCAATGGACTATGATAGGATTGTTCCCAGTTCTCCTCTGAATGGCAGACATCTCATTTATCACACTGGTGATAGTGGCCAGGTGAGAGCAGCTGCCATCAGGACTCCAGTTAGTCATGTGCAACTGAACCACCTGGTGGGCACTGCCAGCCTGTTGCACACAAGGAAAGGTAATTAGAGAATAGCGATGTTGGGTAGTTACCTTCTCATTGACGACAACAAGTGTGCGCATTACGAAACCTTTAACAGGCTTTTCTTCCATGAGGTTAACAGTATATTCTCGGAACTGAGCCATTCCTCCACACAGGCCAGTATTGATAACATGTCTCCTGCATTTATTATAGCATGGAACATGTTACGTCAAAATAAACTTTACAGATTATACCTGTCCATCTTCCAACAAGTCACAGAGCATAACAATGACTCCACACTTCCTGTCATGGACCATCTTCCAGAAATCTCTGGCTGTGGGCTCCATGGGACTCTGAGCTATGATGAATGCTCTCTTTTGCTTGTAACCCTGCAAAAGCAAAAGTAAACCATGCTGCTACAGAAACCAAGCTATTATGCTACTTTTGTACATTAACAAACGTTGCATGGATGTAGTCTTGCTTATCACCTCTTAAAACAACTCCCCAGTCGTCACCTGAAATGGCGCAAAAACAACGGTTGCACACTGTTAAAAGATAGCTGTATATAACAAGATATGTAACATGATCAGCACACATAATGTCCCTTATGTTTATACTCACTGGGGGAGGTAGTAGTCATTGCGATTCTTGAATGGATGTTGTAGAGCCTTGTTCCTAGGTATCTCACAAGGCTTAGGAGACACTTTTTTCAAGTACCTATTATACAACAATCACAATTGCCAACACAACTATTATAGGAAAACACTATTATAGCTACCCGAAACTGGTTTTCATATTCAGTAAGTTGAGTCTGTGGGTAACGATGACTCATTTCTGTAATTCTTCTGCTGAATAGACTGGCATCAATTTGAGTGTCACCACATGTTACAGCCTCAAGTATAGCATCGTGGATAAACATGTACTGTTCCTGCAAGACAGGAATTGAGAATGCACATTGTTCTGCGAGGTAGTAGTACTCACCAAGCTCTGGACCATTTTCATTCTCTGTGTGCGGAGGTGGATGATGACACCAGCTATACCACCACCTTCTCCTCCTCTTGCAACTGCTCAAGAACACAGTCAATAGTTATCAGAGTCCCTGTCCTACCCACACCAGCACTGTGTAAGTTTGATAAAGAGCATTCAGTTTCTCATGCTTAGTGTATACCTGCAGTGAACAATCATTGGTCCAATTCCTCTGTTGTGATGTTTCTTCACTTTCTTGTGGAAGGCCAGAAGTGAAGTGGCATAGTCAGGCACTCCATGTCAGGCCAGGCTGTGAAGTGAACTGAGTCACACTCAGAGCTGGTTCTAGCTGTCTGACAGCTGAGGAGAGACTCAATATAAAGATGCTTCCACACACCAGCGTGTGGCATTACCTGGACACTAAACTCCCGAGTGGTGTAGTCAGCCAGTATCTGTTGTCCTGTGATGGTGACATTGAAGGGACCCAAAGGACAGTGTCCCAGTCTCTGGCCAGTACTTGTGACACTTGACAGACTGGCCTCCACCAGATTTGGCCAGCATCACAATGGTCTGAGATCTCTCCTGCCACACCATCCTCCAGAAGTCTACCACTGTCTTGGCAGTGGCCCTGTGAACCAAAACATAATTTTCTCTTTTC